AGCAAGTCGGGCCCTTTGGGTTCCTCCACGGCGGGGAAGCAGGGAAGCTGAAACATGTGGGCTGCTGCAGCATATTCATCCCCTCCCCGAATTTTATTCCTCCGGGGCTGCAGGACTTAAAACTCCTGCCTGAGATTTTCTGCTGGGAGATTTTAAAAAAAGACCATTTATTTCGTATTTCTTAAACCTGCATTTTAAGCACCAGCTTCCACGTCCCTCTTGATTCCTTGTGACGTGGCTGACCTGGGGTTTTCCTGGCAAGCGAGGAGCTTCGTGGGCAAAGCGGAGGATGCTTTGTGTCCCGACTAGGGGTTGGGCACCGTTTCCTCTGTTAGCGTCCCCTCCCCTCCCCTTTCTGAACTAAGATCAAAGAATTGGAGCGAATGCACCTTGGGACATTTTGCACACCGAGATACGCGTAGATCGTCTGCATGCATCCATAGGTGTGTGTTTCTGTGCTCATATGCGTGCGTAGAAGTGTATTTCCCCAAGCCAAAAATTTGAGTGTAATATTATAGCACACATCTGATTGAAGATAGAACTGGACTAGATGACCTCTAAGGTCCCTTTCAACTCTATTCTGTTTCACATCTTGCGTCAATATTTGAAATTGAATATTGGTAATCTGTATGCCAAATCAGTCATAATATTAGAGGTTCAAATAGAATTTTAGTGTTTGTTTTTTCATGCTAATATATGAGATGGGTTTTTTTTTTCTGCTGTCACATGTCCTGCAGCCATTTTTCAACAAAAATGAAATAACCCATTTATATTACTCTTACAAAGAGGGAATATGCCAGGAAGAGCTCTCTGGACAACAGAGAATGAGAGCTGCCTTATAGTGCAAAATAAGCCATTATACAAAATATTTTCCAATTCCTTTGGAAAGTTTAAAAACTATTCTTCCTCAGCAGATCACAGATGAGGGAAAGAATAACAAGAACAAAGTTTTGAGCTGGAAAAAATAGAGCACACGGAACTGAAGAAAAACATCAAATGAGAAATCAAGGAGGATAATTTTTAAATAAAGAAAAAGTGAGAAACTTCCAGTAAAAAGCCATGCAAATGTTTCGCAAAAACTTTTCTCAGAAAAGCTTCCTCATGATTCATGGAAGAACCCATACTTGAGACAAGCCCTGCCTTTGAATGTCCTGTTTGTGGGGAAAGTTTCAGGCAGAATTCCCACCTGGTAGAACACCAGAGAATTCACACAGGAGAAAAACCACATCAGTGCCTGGATTGTGGGAAACGGTTCAGTCAGAGTTCCTACCTGGTGAAACACAAGAGGACTCACACTGGGGAGAAACCCTTTGAATGTCCTGTTTGTGGGAAAAGTTTCAGTCGAAATTTCATCCTAGTAGAACACCAGGCAACACACACAGGAGAGGAACCATATAAATGTCCTATTTGTGGGAAAAGTTTTATTCGAAATTACAACCTGGTGATACACCAGAGAATTCACACAGGAGAAAAACCATATAAATGTGCTGTTTGTGCGAAAAGTTTCAATCAGAATTCCAGCCTGGTGGAACACCAGAGAACTCACACAGGAGAAAAACCATATCAGTGTTTGGATTGCGGGAAACGGTTCAGTCGAAGTTCCTGCCTGGTGAAACACAAGAGGACTCACACAGGAGAGAAACTGTATAAATGTCCTGTTTGTGGGAAAAGTTTCAGTCTGAATACCAGCTTGGTGAAACACCAGAGAACTCACACAGGAGAAAAACCATATCAGTGCCTGGATTGTGGGAAACATTTCAGTCAGAGTTCCTGCCTGGTGAAACATAAGAGGACTCACACTGGGGAGAAACCCTTTGAATGTCCTGTTTGTGGGAAAAGTTTCCGTGAGAATTCCTGCCTGGTGAGACACCAGAGGACGCACACAGGAGAAAAACCGTATGAGTGCCTGGATTGTGGGAAAAGTTTCAAGGAGAGTTCCCACCTGGTGGAACATCACAGGACACACACAGGAGAGAAACCATACAAATGTAGTGATTGTGGAAAAGGTTTTAAGCAGAGATCTAAGCTTGTGAGACACCAGAGAACTCACACAGGAGTAAAACCATTTCAATGTCCAGATTGTGGGAAAAGTTTCAGTCAGAATTCTAATCTGATGATACACCAGAGAACTCACACTGGAGAAAAACCTTATCGGTGTCTGGATTGTGGCAAAAGTTTCAAGCAGAATTCTAAGTTTGTGATGCACCGGAGGGCTCACACTGGGGAGAAACCATATGAGTGTCCAGATTGTGGGAAAAGTTTCAAGCAGAATTCCATGCTTGTGATACACCAGAGGTCTCACACAGGAGAAAAACCATATGAGTGTCCAGATTGTGGGAAAGATTTCAGTATCAGGTCTAACCTTATAAATCATGTAAGGTTACACACAGGGGAGAAACCATTCAAGTGTCCAGATTGTGGGAAGTGTTTCGCACAAAATTCCTCTCTTATTGTACACAAGAAATTCCATTTGAAACAAAATTTGATGTGTGTAGAAGAATCTTGAACTTCATTTCTCTTCTGACTTTGGAAGCCCAGTTGAGAAATTAACCATTTAATTTCTTGTTTTATTCTTTTTAGTCAAACATGTCTTGATATCAGACATGAGGGAGGAGATCTGAGCTTCCTTTCTCTGGAGGAGTGTGGTTGTTCCTCTTCACAGCATCGAGGGGAATTGGGCCAGAGAAAAGGCACTTAGATCTCTATTAGGTATATTTGCCACCTTGAGTTATTTCTACATCTAATTAAGGTGGGATATAGATGTGTGTGTGTGTATGTATTTTTATTTAGAAATTGTGTATGGCAGCCCAATACAATGTGACTCCAGACAGTTTACAGCAATAAAATACAGAAAGCAATCAACATATATGGTAAATAGCAAAATACAAAGCCTTGATATTTGGCATACTCCCACACCATTGCATTCCCCACCAGACTAAAAAGGGCCCAGGTGTCGTCTTCCTGCACAGCCCTTTCTCTGGGTGGCAAACTCAGAGGTGCAAGCAGAGGGTGAGTTGTAGTCCTAAGCTGCCAGCCTTTCACTGTCCTCTTCAGCTGTAATTAGAAAAGATCTGAATTTGCAGCAATGCCTTGAACTGCTCTGCCAGGAAAACCTCTCATGATTTTATTATGCATAGAAAACTGCTGTTGAAGGTATAAAGCCTGCCAGGATGCCAACTGTCCAGAAGGGGGGAAATTACACTTCCAGCTCTCTCTTGAGCCTGGAAAAGAATATGGGTGGTTCTCGGGTTGCAACAGTATTTAATGCTAGTACTGTCAACCCTGAAACCATTTTGGAAAGATTTTTTTTGTAAAGTTTATTTTTTAAAAAACACATCAATATTTTGTGAACAGTGTGGTATCTGAGTAACATTTTGATACAACAGCAATAATAATACAAAAAAAATACTAAATTAGTCCAGCTTACCTGGTCTAATGTTATATCAGTGCTTAGTCCTTCATTTTGCAATTACTAATATTTGCTATACTAATAGTAAAAACTTTTATTTTTGAGCATTCCTAGTAACATCCTTTTTCAAATTCTGATTTTAACCTTTAATATTCACTTTATATATATTGAATAAAAGTATGTATAACAATATTTCCCCATTTCTAAATTTTATATGTATTCTAATTTTTAATGCGGCCAGTCTTAAAAGTTGCTACATTAATCTAATGTTCTACCTAACTATGTCAACTCATAATTCTTCATTTTTCCCTTATTCAATATTTGCTACCTCCTTCTAATAGTAATAACATTGTTTTTGAGCATACCTAATATCCTTTTTCATACTCTGATCTCAACTTCTGATAGTCATATTAAATATTGTATTAGATAAAAAATGTATAACGATATTTGTTAAGGTCTTGGAATTTAAGAGCTGACCAACAGTGAAGCTGATGCAATATAGGATGATGCAGTAAGAATGAATCAACATAGCATGGGTATTTCCCTTTAAGACTGGGGATTAAACACCTTTAAGAGGTGTTTATATATTGTAGCCATTAGAGGGTGTGGTTCTCCTTGTGTTCGGGATTCATTTGCAGAAGTTCTCTGAGGAGAGTTAAGAAGAAAGTTTGCTTACTTGTAAAGGTATTTTGCCTGCCACATATATTTCTGTATAAAACTGTTGTAGATAAACTACCACTGTTAAATGTTTAAGTCTCTGTATGCTGTATTTTGCTCCTGGATTGTCTCACAATGGTAGTCATGCTGCAAACGCTGTGACAATATTTCCTTTATTTCTACAGTTTATTCTAGTTTTAGGCCAATCTCATCAATCATTCCTATCCATCATCTCTCATTCTCTTGGAAGCTACATTTCTTCTCTTTTTAGCTTGCCTTCCATACTCCTCCCTTGGGTCTTTATATCTTTCATATTCAACCAAAACTTTATTTCCCTCCACAATATTTTTTGCTGCCAGTCCACACATAGGCCTGCCAAAACCTCTATCTTTTTTCCGAAGGTATCTTTCGGTTTATTCAATTCCATTTTTCTATCTCCATGTATATATTCTCCCAACTTTATTTCACCCAACTTTATAATCTTACTTTGTTTGCTATGTCATCTTTTCTGTCTCATTCTCTGTGTTTACAGTTGTCTCCCTTTTCTCCTGGGTTTTATTATCTTGCTTCATTGGTCCTTGTTGCACATTTTCAGTCTT